CAGCTGTAGTTACCACATGTAATATAGTTTCACAGAAAATGGACAAGGGGGGCGGGGCCACCTGTCAAATTAAGTTTGATGAAAGGTGGTATATCCTTTCTCTCTGATGCTCACTCACTCTGTAACAGTCGAGAGTTTGAAGGCAGAAGTTAACTAGAGCTACTTTAATGCTTTGGATTAACAGAAACACACAATAGATGACCAGATCTCAAGATGAACAGAGAAAGGAGAAAAATGGAAATTCAGAGGAGGGTTGGAGACAGAGGACAGTGGGCCAGTAAAACAGAATATATTCTGGTTGTTGCAGGAAATGTGGTTGGCCTGGGCAATGTGTGGAGATTTCCTTATCTCTGTTATAAGTATGGTGGAGGTGAATATTATAAACCGCAACTGATTTTTATTGAAAGATGAGTGAAGGTTTGTGCTTTAATTTGGCCATCATGAGAATGCTTGTTTGTGTATTTATTACAGGTGCCTTTCTGATTCCATATTGTCTGTTTGCTGTGGTTTGTGGGATACCTCTGTTCCTACTGGAGACTGCAAGTGGTCAGTACACCCAGGAAGGATTCATCACCTGCTGGAGGAAATTGTGTCCACTGGCACAAGGTGAGATGTGTGTTCAACTAAAATCTAAGAGCCGGGGTCTGTTGGAGGCTTCTTCCGTTAAAGGGAGTTTTTCCTCCTGGCTGTCACCAAGTGCTGCTCAATGGATATTTGTTGGGATCTTCCTCTATGAACTAAAATGAAAAACTAACAAGAGAAAAGGCTTATGACACTTTATCACAGACTCAAGGTCCAGGTTCAAAACAAATAAAAGCAATAAAAGAACAGTTTAAAAACAAAACAATAAAAACAGAAAATACATAAAAAACGAGAGCACAAGAACACCAATAAAACTACTGTCCCTTTAAAAGAGAAAAGGCCTCAGTGACACTTTGAATTTACATTATACTCTCAAAAGACAAGAACTGAGGATTTGTTCTTTTGTTTTTCAGAAATTGGATACGGATATTTCATGATGAAACTTTATGACTTTAGCTACATTATAATCCAAGTCTGGGCCGTCTTCTATCTGGTGTTCTCGTTCAGATCTATCTGGTTTGTTCCCCAACCCAGCTAACTGTCTTGGTCTTCAGAGTTTAAACTCATCAGATCTGACTAAAAATCAGACCATCACCACTTCTGCTGCAACTGAGTTCTGGGAGTAAGTTTAAGTAATATGGAATTTTATTTGCTCTGTCAATCTTTCACTTTTTATGCAGGACAATGAGTCCACACTCTGTTTTCTCTACATCACTGGAAAAAAAAATTGGTATAAAGATGTTTTTGGTTTATCCCAGAACATCATCAAATATTTAGCACAAGATGTGGAAGAAGTACAAATACAAAGTTCTTTTTACAGTGGCCCTGAAGGTTTAGCAGTAACATACCGTAGGACAAAACAAGCAGTAAAATCACACATGAGAAAATGAATTTGACAACATATATGGAGCATTTTTAAAAGTTGGCAAAGTGACAAAATGCAACCAGATAATCTATATTGGAAAATTAGGAAAACCTTTTTAATATTTCGAAACATGTTTAATGCTTGATTTAGATGTTATTACTGATATTTTCTGTTAACCTCTCCTTAGTCTTTTCTTGATTACTAGTCTACCAGTTTAAATAATTGTAAGTATACAGTAATGGCAGAATAATATAAACAGAATGTAATAGAAAACTGACTGTTAACTCAGTTTCATCAAGTAAATTAAAGGGGTTTTCAGTTAGTTTTTTTCTTTTTTTTACTATTTAATGGTTCTGGATGTGTTTACTCACCCTGCAGCCTATTTGCATGCATGTGAATGTGTGTGATAAAGATGTTTATTTCTCTTTCTGGTGGTTGATTTTATTGCATTTTCTTAAGATGCAGGGCAATGAACTCTCAAGGCAGCTAACTTTAGTGTAGTAGTTTTTGTCCTTTGTCATTTTTGCCTTTATTTGAAAGTTGGCAGCAAAAGTAAAAAAGAAATAGTCTCGGACAAATGTTGAACTTTGAAAATTACATTGATTTTTCTTTTTATACTGACAAAACTCTAGAGTTGTTTTCTCAATGGCTATGAACTGAGCAGGAGTGGCTTAGCATGTGATCAAAATTTCTTTATGTTTGATGCATGAACAGTATCCAGCAGTCTGTCAGAGTTAACATAGGTTAAAATCTGTCAAATCTAGATGACTCTGGTATTGTACTCATTTGCCAATTTTCCCTCCTCTTCAGGCGTCGTGTGTTGGGAATGTCTGGAGGCATTGAGGAACTAGGCAGTGTTCGATGGGAGCTAGCTCTGTGTCTTCTGATCAGCTGGGTGTTCTGCTACTTCAGTATTTGGAAAGGTGTCAGATCTTCTGGAAAGGTCAGTGGAAGTGTTTTAGAAATTTTAAAAGGTATTGTTCACTGTAACCATTATTAAAAGTCATCTAAAATTCTCTTGTCTTTTAAAGGTAGCATATTTCACAGCCACGTTCCCCTACGTGATGCTCCTGATACTTCTCATCAGGGGCCTGACTCTTCCTGGAGCTGGGGAAGGAATCTACTTCTACCTGTATCCAGAATTAGAGCACCTAGCTAACCTGGAGGTGACCAGTTTGATATTAACTTTAATTACTCAGATATAACTACAGACGAGCACCATTTAAACTGTGATTGAAGTTTATCTTTATATTATTTTGCTTTTAGGGGCTTTTATGATATGTGTTCAGTTTAGACTATTAGTACAAAAATGTGCATGAGCCCTTAGTCCAGCTAGCTGTGCACAGTGTGGCTCAGTGATAGGTCAACACATTTAACATAAATACTAGCCTTCAATAGGAATGCTGATCCAACTCTTGACATATTTGAATATGCTTTGATAATGTTACGGGTCCGGTCTAGGGGTCAGACCCGTACAGAATATTCTGCATAAACAGGAAAAATGATGAGGCAGTAGGCCGCGTGCTTCTATTCGGTGCAGCTTCGTTCCGAGAATGAGGAAACTGCGCCAGACTCTCAGAGACAGGCCCAGACCCAAAGCACAACTCGTATACTGCCCCCAAGTGGCGCACCCCAAAACTAAAGATTGTTGCTTAAAAGTAACAGGGAAATATTGTTAACCCCTAAAATAAAATGTATGCAGTGCGTTCTGTGCTTAAGTATTCCCAATTGTAATTCTTAAAATAAAAAACATTATAAAATAACAAAAATGTGACCATACATTTTGTGTGTGTCACAATAACAACACTTAGGTATAAATTCAACAAGAGTTACTGCTTCATGGTTGCATGCCTCCATCATCCAGTCAAATTTATAGGAATGGGACAAAAAAAAAATCCCCCTGAAGTCATTCTTGACATACTGCATTCACAGGAATGGGACAAATGTG